AGACTACACTTTGTGTATACATTTATATGTTGATGGACATTTGGGATGTTTGTACTTGTAGGCTATTTTGAATAATGCTGTGATCATTCTTATACAAGCTTTTGTGTGAACATACGTGTTTGCAAGGGCTGTCATAACAAAATATCACAGACTGGGTGTTTTAAACAACAGTTATAGAGGACTTTCTATTGAATTTCTTTTTGGGTAATTCTGGTACTTCCAAACTCATATTTTAACTGGGACTTTTTTTTATGGATAGTCTCGCTGGATATGGAATTCTAGCTCAACCGTTTTTCTTTCAGCACTTCGAATATGTCATCCCACTGCCTTTTGGCTTCCCACCCACACATCTGGCTTAACCTTATTTTTATTGCCTTAGGTTACTGTATCAACAACCGATAGAAGAAACAATAAACTGATTTTCAAGGTGAATTTGGTAGAAATGGATGAGAAGATCTTGGTTGACTTCCGGCTTTCTAAGGTACAGAGAACAGCACATATCTTTTTAAAAAACGTGGTTTTGCTTAAAGAGTATTTTTACATATTCATTGTAGAAATTTAAAAAAATACAAAAAAAGTTCAAAAAAATACAAAAAAGTTGAAAGAAGGAACTCAGAATCAAGTTTAATCTTATCGTCCAGAGAGAACACACATTTCTATTGTTGTTAATCCTTATCTGAGGATATTTTCCATTGATTTTTTTTAGAGAGAGTGAAAGGGAGAGGGGAGACAGAGAGAAAGAGACACATCGATGTGAGGGACATATTGATTGGTTGCCTCCCACATGTGCCCTGACTGGGGCTGGGGATCGAGCCTGAAACCAAAGTACATGCCCTTGACCGAAATTGAACCAGAGACCCTTCAGTCTGCAGGCTGACATTCTATCCACTGAGCCAAACCAGCTAGGTCCAGATTTATTTTGATATATTTCATTATAGTAGTCTTACTGCTACTAATAGTATATACTATAGAGAGTTAATGTGGAGATTATTTTAAGATGTTATATTTATTTATACATGGCATTTATAAATATATTGAATTCCTATATAGCTTTTCTATAAAAATTGTGATTTGTCAGAAATGTTTGCACATTGTAATTAATGAACCATTATCTGTTAATAATTCTATGTGTAATATCCAGATACATAGAGTTTTACTCACGTTTATAATTATTTCTTTAGAAATTGTTAGAGCTGAGGTTATATATAGTTTTAAAGCCTTTGGTATATATAAAACAAAAATAGCATCTTCTCTATTTCCTGAGAGATTATATGAGCTCTAAAGGAGGTTGGAGGAGGTCACATTCTTTATATTGGAGATTTGCTGCATTACTGTTGTCCAGATGCTTGGTATGGAATTATATTATTAAGATCCTAGTGTGATAATATTTGTTTGGTTGTTTTTTTTTATAACTGAATCTCTGGCTTTGTTGCCACAGTATTTTGAGAAGGCTTCAGTATAGTTACGTAGCTTATTTTTAGTTTACATTTTTCCAGTACCTATGGAAAACAATGATGTAGGGCCCGAGATATCAGGCTTAAAACAGACAGGCTGTCATTGTATTTGCTCTGAGTCCAGTGTTGTGGGAACAGTGATGGGCCCTAAAATCAAGTCAGAATTATTCATTTTAACCATTTCTTCTCCCAAGATAATTGGTCTTTCTCAGAGGACATAAGGGGAATGGTAGCTGGACGCATCTGTAGATGTTTTTCTCTGCAGACCACCACAGAGGTTTTGATTTTTTTTGACATTATTTTTTGTATTATTCCTAACATAGGGTGATGGATTGGAATTCAAGAGACACTTCCTGAAGATTAAAGGCAAGCTGAGTGATGTTGTGAGCAGCCAGAAGGTCTGGCTTCCTGCCACCTGATAGAGCCACAGCTTTGGGATTCCTGGTGAATATAGTGCTGCTATGTTGACATTATTCTTCCTAGAGAAGATTACCCTAACCTGCAAACAATAGTCCCTGAAGAGTTGTCTTCCTCCTAGTCAACCATTTTCCAATTATTTTGTAATTTCTGCATAAAAATAATACCTATATTTTAATTGTAAATAAGACTTTGGGGAAAGGATAGATAGAATTCATTAGATACTTTTTCATCTGTGTTTAGTGTCTGAATTTGAGACCCACCTGGTGAAAACCAAGCTTTGGGGATATATGAGTTTACCAGCTTTTATATGAATATAATGAAAGATGATATTCTTGTCTCATTTTTACCAACACATTTGGTTTTACCTAAAAAGTACATATTGCTTCCACCTTGATTTAAGTGGATGAATTAGTGAAAAAAGGAAATCCTTGTGGCTTTTGAACAGTAGATTTATCAGTCTGTGAAGTGAAATTATCTTCAAAAAATGTATCCCCAAGATTGGTACTCATTTTCAGAAGGGCCTGGCCAGGTATCTAAACCCATTATTGAATTATAATTATTCATTGGAATTACAAGTTGGTATGTTTTTTCCATTATAGTTAATAAAATATAAATATAAAAATGCTGGTTGGTCTTTCAAGTAGAAGTTGAGCATAAACTCTAGTGCATAACTACCTTTAAAATTACTGTTGCACATTTTAAATATTTTTCTATATTCTCTACTTTCACAGCATATTTTAATTCTTTATTACAGAAATAAATTCTGTTTTGAAAATAAATAACTAACTCTGTGAACTTACTGGTGACTAAGCTTCCAGGTGGTAAGAAATAAAAAAGGAGTCAGAAATAAGGAAGCTATAATAGAAATAGATCTGATTCCTCATTCTTTTATCTATGAGATTTACTAAGACTTTATTCTAATACACTTTATATTAACTTGAATGTATTAGGTTCAGACCCTGTATTCCTATTTCTTGGTAATTTATGAAATCACTCATCTTAGTCTGAAGTCAAGGACATATGAAATTTTATTGTCCAAGTTTATCATATATTAGTGTATATGTACCAGTAAATTGTTCTGCTGCAATATAGCCATAGGAGGAAGAAATTTGAACCGATAGATGGCTCCTAGGAATTGAGCCAGTAAATTCTTAAATATGAAGAAATTTTGTTCTTGAAGATTGCTATCCAACCATCCATCAGTAACTCAAAAACAAATCATTTCTGGCTTTGACTTCCCCTGAGTTCTAGACTTTTGTAGCTACAGCCTACCTACCATTTCCTCTAGTCTAATAGTCAAGACCCAAAATAACTTTTTATTTTATTGTTTATATTAATTTTAGAGAGGAAAGAAAGAAAGAGATAGAAACATCAATCATGAGACAGAATCACTGATCTGTTGCCTCCTGTCCCCCTCCCAGCCCCGCCACTGGGGATTGAGCCCCCAACCCGGGCATGTGCCCTGCCGGTAATTGAATCATGACCTCCTGGTTTATGGGTTGATGCTCAACCTACCACTGAGCCATGCCGGCTGGGCAAGGAAGTTTGTAATTTTAATGTAGTCCAATTAAGATCTTTCCTTTGCTAACATTTTTTTGTTTCTTATTTAAGGATTCATTCCCTGCTATAAGTTTCTGAGAAATTTCTTCCATATTTTAAAAGATTTATTTATAGTTTTTGATTACACAGATCTACATACAATCTACCTGAAAATGTTTTTTGTGTATAATGTAAGATAGAGGTCAAGTTTCATTTTTTTTTTTCAATATAGTTTATTGATTTTTTTACAGAGAGGAAGGGAGAGGAATAGAGAGTTAGAAACAGTGATGAGAGAGAAACATTGATCAGCTGCCTCCTGCACACTCCCTACTGGGGATGTGCCTGCAACCAAGGTACATGCCCTTGACTGGAATTGAACCTGGGACCCTGCAGTCTGCAGGCCAATGCTCTATCCACTGAGCCAAACCCGTTAGGGCTCAAGTTTCATTTTTCCTCCCATATTTGGCTATCCGTTTAGTACTGGTTATTGAAAAGATTATTATAGCTAATAAAATTGAATCAATTATAAAAACAACTTTCAATAAACAAGAGTCCTGGGCTGGACTGAGGTGAATTTTACCAAACATTCAAAAATGTGTCCCTGAGCCTATTTGCCCCTCCACTCCACCACCCCTCCACGTTCCCCTCACCCCCCCGCCCGCCCAGCTTTTAGATCATGCACAAATGTGTGCCTTGTCCTGGTGTAGCAGGTTCTTCACCCTTAAAAGCTAGTGTAAAATTCACAGGGTTTTTGGTATTCTTTTTTAATTAAAAAAAAGACAGGCCAATGCTCTATCCTCTGAGCCAAACCCGTTAGGGCTCAAGTTTCATTTTTCCTCCCATATTTGGCTATCCGTTTAGTACTGGTTATTGAAAAGATTATTATAGCTAATAAAATTGAATCAATTATAAAAACAACTTTCAATAAACAAGAGTCCTGGGCTGGACTGAGGTGAATTTTACCAAACATTCAAAAATGAAGTAACACCTATCCTTCGAAAATTATTCTAAAAAATTCTAGAAGAGGGAAGACTCCCAAACTCATTTTAAGAGGCCAAATAATTCCAAAACCAAATAAAGACACTACAAAGAATGAAAATTATAGGCCAATATCCCTGATGAACATAGATGCTAAAATTCTCAACAACATATTAGCAAACTATATCTGATAATACATTAAAAAGATCATATGGCTCAATGGATAGAGTATTGGCCTGCAGAGTGAAGGGTCCCGGGTTCGATTCCAGTCAAGGGCACATGCCCGGGTTGCAGGCTCAATCCCCAGTTGGGGGTGTGCAGGAGGCAGCCGATCAATGATTCTCTCTCATCATTGATGTTTCTATCTCTCTCCCTCTCCTCCTCTCTGAAATCAAAAAAAAATATATATCTAAACAACAACAAAATATTTA